CAAACTAGAGTAACAAGAATGTAAATATTAATAAAGTAGGAGGAATTTGGATGTCAGATATTGCGGCTAGTAGCCATGACAACTTTTTTTCAGTGGTCAGTGCAGTGTTAAAATTGCTAAGGAATCGGGGCAAGGTTAAGGAAATCTCTTAGGCGACTAAACTCACTGTCGGTTCATCCTCAAATAAGACGTGGAAAACCCTGACATACATCCAATTTCTAGCATAACGCATATAGTTACCAGACAACTCAGCGAAGAAATGTATATATATTTTTGTTTTGCAATTGTAACATGTTGTAACTGATGCTCAGAATCTAGCCAGACCGTCAATTTTCGGCGCATTAATTTTTCTAACTTTAGTCGAAGATGAAGTAATCAATGTTATAAGCTATTCCCGTTGTGGGTCTCCTGCTCTCCTAATTGAAATTTGAGCTTACTTCCTCGATCAGGAAAAGGAAAAAGAAAAGAAATTTTGGCAAACGATAGGGTCCTATTTGATTTACGATTTCAGGAAAAGATACTGAGTGGTTATAATTCAATTTTAAATTACGTGTCTGGTTAAAAACTTGCAGGAAACAGTTACTCCAAATTTAATTCAACTTCAGAATGGAAGACGTTTAATTTTTTTTTTTAATTACTTTTATTGCTACATAAGCAATAGGTAATGAAAATGCTCGGAAAAAACATAACACAACCACCGGAGACTTTATATCGTAACCAAATTTTAATCTTTATTTGACTTTCTTCACCTCAGATATTGTAAATCATTGTGGCATTAATATTAACTTTCGTGATAATTTGTCAGTGTCTTGAATTTACAGTCTTTTCTGGGAAGGTAATCTCTGCTTACCCAATATAAATAACTCTATTTATACTTTACACGTTGAAACAAATGACTACGTTTTTCGAGATAATGAAACAAGCAGGGTATTAGTAGAACAGATCCTAAGAATAAATAAAAAGAAAACCTAATTATTTGTTGGTGTTGAATTTAGCGATTGCAAAGATGGTCAATTGTAAGACGGTCATTTATATGCAATGGCTTTTATTCTTGGTACAGGTAGAGGAAACTAAAAAAAGGTGATAACACTTTCAAAATCAGAAAGGGAAGTCTAATTTCCAAGCGATAGAGAACGATAACAATCGTAACTTTATCAACACCTTACCTATTATGGGATTCATTTTTTTCGCAAATAATATTCATGATTTTATGTAGATATGTTTATTCAATACCTTTAATATAGCTTGAGAGCTTTTCTGCCGTCAGTCACTTTACACCGGTCCGTCGAACTACAACAACAAATCTTCGGCAGGTGTACAACAGCTTGATGCGAAGTTAAGTTACCAGCACGACTTGCGGAGGGTTTTGCGGGTATGTTTTGTGATTATTATATTTGGAGTTGATGATTGGACAAAACTTAACTAGTAGGATAAGAACACGTAAGCGTTTAAGGTAATTTTTCTTTTGAAATCATTCCGAATCCTGACTGAACGGTATAATAATCGTGGCTAGAAAGATATGTTAGTTTTAGGCGGGGAATTAGCTTTGATCACCGTACATTGCTTCAGGATTCTAGATCTGCGCTATTTAGATTTCGAGCGATTGGAAAATTGATCTTTTTGCCATTCCGTTAGTTGTATGACTGAATGACATTCGAACTGGACGATTAAAAATAAAATCTTTTTACAATAGCCCTTTCCAAAAAATTGGACTCGGTTTTGGTATTCTATCTTAAATGCTTATTATTTCCCGTTAAAAATACAGAAAAAATAAAATGACCGTGTGAGTAACATGTTCACCTCTTTTTCATCCGAACACAAATAAAACGTTCTGTCGTTCGGAATTCGGATTAAGTAACAGTAATTCGTCGTTTGCGGTAGATCATCAAAACACAAAACCGCTTAAATTTTACTTTAAAACACATTGCTGGCCGTAATATCAATAGTAATTAAAACACCAGACCAATTCAACTAAACTTACTTTAGAAATAATTCGTTTGATAAAGCCGAAGCTGATTTGGAAATTTATCTTTTTCGAATTATTGGTTTCTAAACCTTAACTGTTCCCTGCTGTTTTGGTAACAAGAATCAATCGTTTCAACGAAACACGAACCATTGTAAGGAGCGTGTTAATTATGGGAGGTAAAAATATGTAAAGTTAAATTGAGCTTTTCGTGAAGCTGGTCTGAAAACAACGAACCAATTAGCTAAATTGATCACAAAAACACCTCATGTAAAATTTTTTTTTCCGGACTTTTAGCAACAGATGAATTTTGAATTTAAATTTGAATTGCATTTATTTATTTATCTATTTTTTTTAATGAAACACTAAAATTCTGCTCCAATCATATCTTAGAAATAGATTTTTTTTAACGAAACATCCACCTGCATTGTTTGTTTCGTAATTAACAAATATAAATTTTTGGCTCACGCGATTTCTTGGCAATTTCAGCCATACCTTACCACTCATAGTAGTCACTTGAACGAGGTAACAACATTTTGAAGCAGCAGGAAAATTCTTAGGAAGCCCAATTATGCAACAGATGTTCGACTCAGTGGCGCAGACTGAATAGATTTAAATTGGGTAAGCTTGGAAAACACAGGCTATTTTTTTTAGTAGTACTGATAAAGGTTTTGATATTTCGAATTCACGAAGCCTTTCTTGTGTAGTTATTTCTATGTGGGTTTGACCATGGCAATTCAAAACCACAGTTTTACGTTTAAATGTTTAAGGCTTACAATTCATCTTTTAAAACAACGATTACCTTCAATACCCTGAATTAAGCCGCTTTCACCCAAAGTCTCTTTTGTAGATATCGTGGAGATTTCTCAAAAAAACGATGGTCGGTTTAGCTTCTACTTCTTAAAACACTTTTTATCTTTTCCGTAAGTAGCTAGATTGCGGCGAAATTTACAAAAAAAACGTATTTCATATTTATTAATTTTTGCAACACGAGAGTGTACTGTAGGGTATTTATTTCAGTAAACACATCTTTCCTTGGTAAACAAGGCTGGTGAAACAGTACGCAAACCAGAGCAAATACGCAAAGAGGTATTTTCATTCGGTTTACTTAGAGATTAAAACAAAAGTCTCAAGTCTGACTAACAAATCAATCAAAAAAGAGACTATCGCAAGCTGAACTCAAAATTAATAATCATGGAATATTCAGTTGGTGGGAAACTCACCCGCCGGTTATTTACACCAAGGAAATTAGAATTTTCTGAATTTAATGAAAATCATATAAAAACGTCAGGGAAACACAATTAAAAAAAGACTGGCCAATTTTGTTTCCATGCATTATCGTAGTTATATATAGTTTATGTCACAAAACTAAGGCCAAGTTCCGCGGCGTTCAAAAAGTGAATCATTGGATCTAATAGCGCTCTTTGTTGGGAAAAATTTTCGATTAATTTTATCGGGAAATTTGGAAATTTATCAAATGGAAGGAACAAATGTCATATTTGTTAAAACAAAACGAGTTCACTTATCTCAGATTCGCTTTGTTTAAACACACCCTCGCAGATATTTTATCTTTTATGCTGTACTGACAAAATTTTCAGTTAGCAATAGGCGAACACCATCAAGTTAATCTCTCTGGATTAGACAACAGATCCGTAAATTGACTAATGGCCATGGGTGGAAAGATTTTTAATTATGAAGATAAATAAACGCTTTGTTCCCAAAGCCTCTTGATAAATGAACGCAGCATAACGTTTCATTTTTGTTGGGTAAGGCAGAGGAACGTACTGAGACATAAAAAAACAACTTGGAAAAAGCATTGGACTAAAAGTACTTAGCTATCCAATGCAACAAGGAAATACAAGGTAAGAAAATCACCGTTCACTTTCATGGACAGAGTAGAAGTCGAGGTGGATTATAACGCAGCAATCTTTGTTTTTTTTTTGTAAAGAAAGGGGCTTAGTTATAACTGAAATATTTACATCCTAAGAGTTCTTTCAGTCAGTACCTCCTCTTTAAATTTTTGCTGTAAGTATGAAAAATATATTTAAAACATGTGGAATGAAGCGAGAGACTTTGCTTAAGTTTCAGGGCTCGATTTATGCTCTCACGACCATAGAACAGCTACAACTTAGGATTAAATTGGCTGATGTTTTGTGCTTAAGATATGAATTTCATTTCTTTAAATTTTTTCCGTTTACGATCTGTATGAGCTTTGAAATAGAGTAGGACTAATGCAATTTTGTATCCTTTAGAAGGTCGGTCGTCTTGTTTATTAATCACGTTTTTCCGTGTAAATCGATCGCTTTTATCTTGGCAGATGCAAAGTCCGTCTAGAGCTTATTACCTCGGCTTGATACCTTTGTCCGTTGAAATAGATAAGGCAAGCATGGCAATCAGATAGTCCGAAGAAATAAAAAAACTTTGTGTTTCGAATGGACGAACCAAAAAGTTTTCTTGTAAGAATATGCAGGAGACCTTTAAACAGACAGCCTTTGAAATTGAATGACACAGCGGAGAACTGTCTATTTCTTAGAGTATTGGACTACAAGTTTAGGATCAATAAGTTTTGACGCTTTCGCGTGTAACTCCGATTATTATACATTATACTTCAGACTTACTGCAGTTTGAAGTCGACATTATAACCCAATATCTGCGGCAGATATTGGGTTATCATGTCGAATTCAAAGTCTGCCTTGCCTACAAGCCTTTCGTCTCAAACTTTTGCAATTGCAGTGTTTTATTTGCAGATTGTTCAAAAACTGTTCAATAAAACAGCTTTTAAATTCGGTTTTCATGAATTATCAAACCTTGTGTCGTCTGCTTCAGCCTTCGGCTTCGGCAAATAACTCAGCTCAACTCGACATTGATAATTCATTGATAATGCACGATTTTTGAAGACAGTCGGCAGTCAATGTCGTAGGCACTATCAGGTCTGTGACCGACCCTTTGCGCCCGCGGTTTGGAAAGTGAAGATTGGGAAATAGTTATCTGCCTGCAGTTCCACCATCTTTGGATTAGTAAATATTTCTTCATCTGCGTAGAGTCATCTATGATGTTTGTAACTTTAGCTACGGCTTATTTGTTTGTTATCTGAATGTAATTCTCGGAGTTTGTCTTACATCGATCATTATACAGCAATCACGTTTTGTGGTTGTTCAATCAATAAACCTTTTCATACAGATATCCTCCATAACCTGCAAGATGAATTATTTGCAATCCGGCCGGAAACCTTTACTGAAAAGGTTCCTAATTATCAATCGTAGCCTTAATTGGTAACAATGAATGATGTTGAGGCAGAATATTCTATCCCTAATACATATTTTCGCCGGATCTCGCCCACTGTACTTTGGACATCCGAACAGTGGAGATGCTATAAAACACCCTAATCGAGGTGAAAGTTTTTATTCCCCTCTAATCCGAATTCTGTCAGTATTAATCTTTACTTATGATTGTAAATGAAAGGGAGGTATCACTATTGAATAAAGAGCGACATAATTTTATAAAATAATCATAACGTTGGACTCATACAGAGCAAATAAATGGTGTAATTTACTTTATTGATTTTCTTCGCTGTTAGTCAAACGGGGTCCTAATTTTATTTCATGAGCAACTCGCAGTAATCAACGGTAATGTTTTTCCTTCCTTGTTTAGTGTTCCTACTTGACACAAGATCAAAAGAATTATTAGAGACTGGAAGATTTTAAAATCTTTTTCGAAAGCTTTAGTTTACGAGAATTTTTCTGCGATGAAAATTGGAAAAAAAATTGGTGGGAAACCACAAGATGTTATCATGGTATGATGAAGTTCACCAAAATTAGAAGAAACAAATAAAGGAAAAAATTTATAATTAAGGATGGAGAAGATTGAAAAGGATTGCGAATTGTACACTTGATAAAATATAGACGACGTTTTTCAAGTCACAGAAACCAAGATGTAGCTGCCAAGCGGTTGAGTAAGCTCCCACTGGGAGTGCTTGAATGGGTTTGTAAATACAGTGGTGCATGGTTCGTTTGCTGGGTTTTTTCTTTCAAGTTCAGATTTATGTTAACTAAAAATAATCAACTGCTGCTTTGGGAACCCTTACCTTGCGTTCTACGTTTCAAGAACCTCTCTGTGATGGATATACTTTTATCAGTTTACGCTGGATTCTAAATCAAGAAAATATTTAAACTCAAATGTTTGAGACTTAACGAGCGCTCATGGTTTTTAATCATCCCGACAACAGCCAAAGATTATAAAGCCAGAGCATCGTCTGACCTTTCCTGGCCTTAATTCCTCTTTCCCAGAATGGAGAGAGGAATGGAGAAGAAATGAAAGTCACTAAATAATGAATGACTAATTAATCCCCATGGAAGCTTTTAAGCACTTGAAATATTGACATACATTTTACTGATCTGTTTTAGAAGCTTTTTGGATGAAACGAAAGTAGTTTAAGGCAAACTACCCAACGGGTTCTTAGTATTTCGCTGCAGAGTACTGGAAAGCGGTCGTCCGTCCTTTTGACGTGTCGATACCTCTTGACGTTTGTTAAGGTAACACTGTTTTTTTTTTCTTTTTAATTTACCTATGCATGCTTAAGAATCGGTATCCTTTAATAGAAGGCCTTAACTGGAGGCTATGAGCTTAGGTCTTTATTTCCAATAAAGTTAACACATGTTTAAAAAAACACAACTCTTTTCCCTAAATTGAAAACCAATTTGATAACCTCGCTCTGAGTTTTCATTCGGTGACAAAAAGTTGTCTGAAAGCCAAAGGGAAATCCTACAGGCAGAAATCGGTCGCCCGGCAGTCGAGTTCATGCATCTGATGGTATTTATAACCAAGATTAAAACAGAACTTCGAGAAATGTTAATTTTGGTTTCATCGAAAGAGCGCCAAGCGCGCTCGGAAAAAAAAATCTAAATTACCTAAAATTTTTCAACTCGTGATATCGAACTCGAATCGAAGGAAACCCTTAAGAGCCCAGCTCTATGGTAATGTAGAGCGGTAAAAAGTAAAGATATGAAGAAAATTAATTTGTGGTTGTCATAAAAAAGATCAATCTCTATCTTTCGGCTTAATAAACGAAATAGATGATGCCAAATTTTCCCTTTTTTAAAACTGTTTTTCCTTTTAATCATGAATATAAATTGCGCTTATTACAAACAAAAAAAATCGATGAATAAAAAGCTTAAATTGCGTCCTTGTGTGGCCCTGTGACTGCATCAGAGTTTCGTGCGTTTTCCATATTTTTTTATTATTCATGTAAAGAACTGAGGAGAAAGGAAAAAAAAAACCTTTTTGATCTTAATCATTTTCGTCCCGAAGCAGGTTCGTAAATAACATCAGCCAAGAAACGTTGTATTCTAAATTTTGTAGCTGTCAAGCCAGTGAACGTATGGGAGCCAAGTTTGCCATGAGATTTGCCTGTCGATCAATGTCAGCTTTCATAATTTGTAGCTTACGCAATCGAGCTATCTTAAGCTAACATCATGATCACTCTAGCTAGGTTGAAGCTCAGGGATACGTCAGTGATGACTGAAGGATGTGCAACGAAAAGTATAAAAGAGGAAATGCGGTAGAAGATCTTCCAAAAAATAAAATATCATGGTAAAAGGAGTCGTCTCAGATGTAAACTGTTAGTTTAATTTCGAATTATATTGATCTTCAAACATGGGAAAGTTGCTGTTGCAATTACCAATTTGAGAGATATCATAACTTGTTTCGAGGTTTCAAAAAAGGAAAAGGAAATATCAGTTATAAATATTTCATCAAATAAAGCAGCTGAAGAATAACCGCTCACTAAGTGGTTAACAAATTATCAACTTGGCGACGTGTTGTCCTTTTGTTTATGATTCACTCTTTAGAAAAAATTGAAGTTCCAGACTGAGCGACTCAGGGCCTTTTTAATCAAACCCTAATATTAGATTTTTAAAAAGTTTACCGAGAGCATGATGATTTTCCCTTCCATAAACCCTACCCCCTCCTTTCGCCCCAATAAATTTCTCTCACGTTCCTTATCCAACTACAAAAACTCCTGTTACCAACATGTTACACAAAGATGATGCAAACGGACTTTAATCTGTTGCGTATAGACCAATAAATTGTGCAAGTAAAAACTACTGCACAACTAGACCACCCAATTCGTCGGCCTGTCACATCTGATTGTCGTTCAGCGCTAATCGCAAAGAGAGTCAACGATTTCTCAAAGTTCAGTCGTTAGATATATCCCTGCCGGCTTTGCTCACAAGTTCCGCCACCGGCCCAACCAGTCGTCATTTCCCCACTTCCAAAAGTATTTTTGTCCCCTTCCTTGTGATTTCGTTCAAATTAAAATCGTGTTGTTTGCGCAATTATTGTGGCAACCAATTGATGACACGTCTAACGTCAGCGACAAAACGGAGACAAGGAAAATAATTTCCTGAATAATTTTTGTAGAAAATCTTTTGTTCAGTTCATTTTAATCAAGTCGGAAAAACAACCTACTGATCTTTACGCCAATGGAAATTGGCCAATTATAAGTCTTAAAATTCCATTCTTATTGGTTCTTGACACTGATCAGAACTGAATATACAAGACCGTCGCCTAAAAATTATTTACTTTTCATTAAAAAATTAAAAATTCAGCCCATCAGAACGAGACAGAAACACTGCACAATTCTGAGGACCTTAAAGACTATCTGCATTTTAGTCAGACTAAATAAGCCCACTCACTAATTTAGTAAACTTTGTATTGGCTTGAATTTCGTAAAAGTCCATTATCACCTGCTTACCATTATAAAAGAGGATCGTGTTTCAACACTGTTTGACGTGAGGTAAACTTTATGTCATACGTTATGATAATCCCGTGTTCAAGGATAAAAAACGAGAGTTCTCTCATCTTTGCATCTGGAGCTGGTTTAACAGTGAGTACCTAGTTAAAAAAGCGCAAAGAATAACAGTAAGACTCGTATTAATTTTAAATTTTTAGTGTGAAGATATTGCTCCAGCATTCAGTCTACTTCTGGGGTACATCCATACTCCTATGTTCATATTAATATCAGCTTGCAGCTTGGAGGATTATGCTTAAGTATACACAAACGCTGACATTTGTTAGCTTCGGTTTAAATCACTGGAAGTTATATTGCTGTTTAATTTCCATTTTTTAATCATGAATTCGTTTGAACACGTTTACTTCTTCTACATTACCTTAGCAGTAATAATACGCTGACAGTATCAAGTCGAAAGGCATACGTACACATTTCGTTTGAGGGGACCGTCAACATGGGCGACTTTAAGACTTGTCTCTGCTATTAGCACCTTCGCGACTGCATGTAATATTTTTACGTGAATGAGATACCGCGCTCAGGGAATGTGATTTACAGCCAAACATTATCGCAATGCAAGATTATTCACTGGCAGATGCTTCCTATGGCAAGGAATTGAATATTCGTACCTTGCTCGATAGGAAACTCCTGCGATTTTCAGACTTCGACTAAAACGTGTAAGTGTCTTCTTAGCTCTCTTAAAATTTCCTAGCTTTCATATATTGAAAAGAACTTAGCCGGGAGCACTTTATTAAGCGGAAACCATGAACGTAACAACCTGCATCCTTTGTAACTTTTAACAGCGGAAGTTGTTCTTGAGTGAACTCAATCATTCAACACCACTTCGATTGTAGAACAGGAACTTGGTTCACCTCTTTCTTCCTACTTATTTACTAAGGTCTAATTTCTTCCAATGTCGTGTTATCGGCCCACATGTAGTTTACATCAACTACTGAAAAAAGATCCGTTTCAAATAGGGCGAATAGCACTTGATGATTTTACGTCTAGGATGTTATGTTTCGGTCATTAGCCTCTGTCAGAGGCGTTTACAACGTTGATTCCAAGAGTTATTACTCAACGCGCGGTGGTCTTTGCGCTTCGCCGCTACCATATTTACCTTTATACCTATTGGTTGGTTCAAAAAGCTGAATGAATGCAATTGGGAACTGCCTGCATGCACAGAGAGTTCGAGATGATTTATAACATGCAAAATTTTGCGAAATTTAGTTGATTAAGAAAACTGATGCCGGAAATTCCTAGTCAATTTCAGCATTGTGTTAAGAGAAAAAATTTACTGAAAAGACTTCCGTGCATTTTCAATTAATTGATAAACATGAACTCAATATGATTTAATTTGAATGATGCCACTCAGAGCCTCTTATCAAACAGACCGCAAGGCACCAAATGAATTGTAATAAATATTAATGTCGTTCTCTGTTAACAATAGAGCTAAAATGTTTACATATCAAAGTCAATCTTTTAGTTATGTTGTAAACAAACTTGTGAAAGCTCAAGTCGTGTGAGTTTTGGGCATGTCAAAGTATGTTACGCCAATTAGAGAAAACGCCATATATTTAATTTGTCCTCATAAAGTTGTCCGATAAGGTTTTGAAACCTAGTTGTGCTCCCGGCTAAATGATTGAAGAGGGTGATGGCCCCAGGGTGACAATTAAGAGGGTCCAACATAAGTTTGGCGGGATACAGGATGAGGCTTAAAATCGAGGCGGGATGAAGGATATGAGAAATTTTAAAGGCGAGATGCGCGATGAAAGTAGGCAGACGAGACCGGGATATGCTTCGTTTCGAAGGCGGAATAAGGCATAGGACGGGTATAGGCGGGATCGTAATTTAGCTCAAGTGGCGAGTCAATAGACTTTAGAGACACTAAAAAGTATTTCTTTGCTTTATCAAAACGAGCTTTGTGATTCCCAAAAACCGCGGATAAAAATACATGAAATTCCCATGTTTTACTAATGTTACGTGGTTTGTTGCGTAAGTAACACGTGACGTAAGTTAATCATAACCTTGACCAGAAAAAGGTGGTCAAAAGCCGCAGTGAGCACGTTGACAAAGTTGCCGGTTCATTCACAACAGCGTTATTTCCGTGACAGCGACACCATTAACATCGCTAACCTCATGGAAAGTTCAATATTAACCATAGCCTAAAAAAATTTCAGGAAAAGAATGAAAACTCAATTCAATCCTTCGTAGGTGACGTTTTTGTGTCTTACTCTTAACCATTTGTTTTAGCAAGTTTGTGCCTTTCTCCTTAATGAGAGTACATGGTCAATATTGCAAAGGCTATATCAGTTAAAATAAGACAGTGAATTAGGGCAACTTGGATTTAACTAGGCGGGTTTGGGATAAAAATGTTCATCGCAGCGGAATGGCGGGATGGAATAAAAAATAGCGGTGTTCCTACTTCACGAGCTATCCGTCCGAGAAAATAGCGGTGGTCGTATTTCACGGGCTATTTGCACACGTCCACGTTGTGCATTTCATAATGTAGACTCACCTCCAAGAAAAAAGGCTGGTGTAAATCTAGTTTTCTTTATCAGCTAGAATCGAAAGATGTATGCCATCTGCGCTTAGAGTCCGACTCGGTCACGTGTTACAGGTAATTGTGTCACGTGTACCTCGCAGCATAGCTACTCAATGATTCTTAGCACAGTCCAGCTACCCCTGTTGAGAAAACTAACAATTTCAAATGGCCCTAACTCAGACAAAGCGTCTCGTATATTTTACCTATCTTTTGACCACTGACGAGAAAGAACTGACGGGGAGAGAGAGATGATATGCAGAGTAACCTCCATTCAGGGGTTCTGGAACAGGGCCAGTGTCCCCTGAATAGAAGTGTCCCACAGGAGAGGTTCCATCATGTATTTTTTGTGGACCGCGTCGATGTCCTTGAATTCTCCATTGCAAACCCTCCGATCGAGAATAACTTTTCTTTCCATGTGGCTTTTTTACATCTTCATCTCCTCTACTGATAAACCGTTCATTACATTGGCCGGATGAAATTTCTCCGCGTAAATTTTTTTGTAAACAACAATGAAGAAATTGAAATACATGTAGATATGATTCTCTTTACCTTATATTTAAGGCAAGTGGAAGTCATTTCTGTGCACCAAAGATATCCTCACTGAGTCAGCTCAGTTGTTCAAGTCTAACTGAGTTAAATTCATAAAGAATACCAGAAGGGGGAACAACTTTACTTAACAACCAGTGATTGAGAGAAAGTACGACTGTAAAACTTGTATAAAACGTAGGTAGAATGGTTCAGTAAACGTTTGATTTAAGTAGCCTATTCGTCTCATTACAGAAGGTTGAAAAGTATCGACAGGCGTTCAAGAAGAAATGAAGCAAATAAACGAGCAAAAATTCAAAAAATTTCAGAAAGAACGGTTATGCAACCAAAACTAAACTCGTTTTCCTTCTTTTTTTTTTTGACTTTTTACCAAGGTTTTAGTTTAGGCTAATGGTAGTTCTTATTCTCTTCCGTCAAACGTGAATACGTCAGGGGGTCATGCAAAGTCACGCGCTTCTTTTCATCGCTCGCTCAACAACCTCGGGATTTGTGTTTCTAATGGTCCGTTAAATTGTTTGTAATTTAGTTTATTTTGAGAAAAATTTTTCGTTCGGAGTTCAATTTAAGAGCATTAACAAAACGCTTAGGAGAATCCGGCTCATAAGTTGACATCATGGTGTTTTTTCACATTTTATGTAATGCCGATATTGCATTAATCCATTTGACAAGTTGGTACGTGCTTGGTTTTATGATCAATTTCGTCGTCAACCGTAGAGTCACATCCGGTGTTATTCACTGCTGCGTTACTCACGCTGCGCAAATTATTATCTACTATAAAACTGTACTCTCTAAGCCAGCTTTCAGCAGGTCTTCAAGCTCTGCTGCCTACATCTATCATGTGCGATTGAAGATCGCACTACATAGTCGACCGAGCGGTGAGTTTGTATGATATGTAAAATCCTTACTTTG